ATAAATAAACTAATTACTTACAAGTTGTCATATGTTCCATTTCCTTGTAAAATTCAACTTCATCATCCGTGTGGCTATATTTTGCGGTCTGCGGTAACCGCAAGTTTTGAAAATCAAATACCGCAACCGCAAACGCAAATGCGGTTCGGTTCTTAATACTGCAAATGCGGTTCGGTTTACCGCGATTGCGGTTTTATTGCTGTAAATTATCGGTTGGTTTTTGCGATTTTTCGGTTTAAAATACCACCCCTAATGTTTATTAATATTAGACTTAATTGTTGAATTGCCCCTGAACCTCAGTTGTAGTCTCACTTTGCTCCTAAAACTCAATTTGTGTCGCTTTACCCATTGGAACTCCATGTCGCACTTTGCCAGGCATAGTTTGCCTGAGTTTCAGGGGCAAAATGAAACTAGAATTGTGCTTCAAGGTCAAATTCAATAATTAAGTCTTAATATTAATGTTCATACCTATAGGGTTTTGAATATTCTCAATGATTTTCATTCAACAATAATGTGATAATTATATACAGTGCTTTGCTTGGTGTCTACACCAAGGATTTCCTATTTTGGGCAAGAATCAAGTCCTTGAGAGACAAGGAATATATACAACAAATCTAGGAAATAAATACAAATAAATAGAAAACTAAATCCTTTAAGGATCACGTCTCATTACACCCCCGCAAGCTGACGGGGCAGGGGAGCACAGGTAGATTGGACTGAAGTAAGGAAAACCGAGCAGGAGATAGACCCTTAGTGAAGATATCAGCAATCTGATCAACGGTAGAATAATAAGCAACAAGCAACTCATTGCGCACCATCTTTTCACAAACAAAATGATAATAAACCTCAACATGACGAGTGTGAGAGTGAAACACTAGATTTTAGGCAAGAGAGAGCACTAATGTTGTCACACCAAAGCTTAGGACAATGAACTGGAAGATGAAGATCAAGAACCAAAGCTCGAAACCAAGACAGAGTGGCGGCAGTGTCGGCAAGCTGACGGTACTCCGGCTCAGTACTATAGCAGGAGACACCGCGTTGCTTTTTAGAGCTCTAAGAAATTAAGTTAGTACCGAAATAAATGCAATAGCCACCAGTGAAGCGACGATCATCGGAATCCTCTGCATAATCGGCATCATAATAGGCACTGAGATGAAGAGTGCTTGGCGAATAGAGTAATCCATGAGTAAGCATGCCATTGTGATAACAAAGAATGCACTTAACAACAAGCCAATGAACAGTAGTGGGTTGATGCAAAAACTGACAAACTTGATTAATATCAAAGGCAATGTCCGGGCGAGTAAGGGTTAAGTACTGAAGAGCACCAACAATACTACGGTACTCAGTGAGACCAGAGAGAGGATTGCCATTAGAGATGCTAAGATGACGTCCACCGACAACTGGTGTAGGCACGGCTTTGGCATTATGTTGTGTTTATTTTTATACATGATTTATCATGTCATTCACCCAATATTTTGAGTTAGTTCTTGACATTTTATAGCCTTTTACTTCTTCTTTTTTGTGTTTTTATAGATTTTACCTTGATTAGAATGAAAGTGAGATAAAAATGCATTACTGGATATAAATTATGTTTTTACTCATTTTCGTTGGTTAACTTCTTGGCTGTGGATCACCATGCTCTGTTGCTTGCATGAGGTGGTTCTTCATGAAACTTGTTCCAATGGGTACAACATATTCGAATTTGAGCTCCATTGAATAAGTATAGCCTATCCAACAGATCCAACATTTATCCTAACCTTGGAATTGTGGTTCGGACTACATTTACCTCAATGCCTCACTCTGCTGTGCCATTTTGGAAAATGATAAGATATTCGCGGACCTCTTTTACAAAATTCATGAATAGTGATGCATTAATTTTTCCAACGAGTTCCATGAATAGCAACCCATGAATTTTTCCATTTAAAGTCCTGTGAAATACGTTTTAGGGTAGACCATCATGAGGACGACCCGAAATAACCTCATAGTATACACCACGAATTTCCCAACGTAAGGTGTCCACCTAGAAGGAGACCGGTACCAAATTCCAACTAAACATCATCAATATAAATTGTATGAAAATGCAAACTAATTAAACAGATCTGCTATGACTGACGAGAATAACATAGGAGATTCAAATTGGATCGAATTGGAATTTGGGGTCGAGTGGTCCTAGTTCAACAAAAAACAGGTTGAATTTTAATCCTAAACGTAGTAGAAGTTTGATTTTATGATTCCAAATGAAAATGAGGAATTCGGTGCGAGCAAATGAAAATGGGAAATTTGGTGCGATTAAAATCAGCAGTGTAGGAGGTAGTTAAACTTCTTGAATACAATTTATTCAATTCATTAAGTACATTTGGATTGACTGCACATTGGCAGAGATGGGCAGAGAGATTGGGGGTGATGGTTGGACTAAATAAGCTCGCTTCGGTAACAAATTCCATCTAACATCATGAATACAAATTGTATTTGTCCAGTTAACGGATGTAATTGCCTCAAAAAAATGCAAATGGACACCAATTACACCCGCCTAAGATGAAATTATCATTTTCATACTTGCTCAATTCCCGCTTCCATTTACAAATGTAGCTAGGATCCTTAGCATATAGCATGAACCATAGACGCCTAAATTTCAGGATAAAACCTATAACCTAGGTGTTTGCTATCAAAAAGGCGCCTCACTATATTGAACCTACACTCTAGTTCAACTCTTGGTACCATAAATGGCGGCTATGACTTAGTAACCCGTGCAATGCCCTATTACAATTCAAAAATAATGTTATACAACCGACCATACCATAAATGACAATGTAATAATATAAAAATATACTTACTTCTCATATTTCAAAACCCATAAGAAGTCCAACTTCTTTGGAAAGTTGTTCCCGTGAATTTTGTAACAGAGGTCCACAAATATCTTATCTTTTCCCAAGTTGACACAAGCAGAGTGAGGCAAACTGGAACATCCTAATAGAGCTCTCTCGTTCCTCATCCATATCCCATAATGGGAGGACTCTATTGGGATGTCCCAGTCTGCCTCACCCTGCTTGTGCAATTTTGGAAATGATAAGATGTTCGCGGACCTCTTTTACAAAATTCATGAATAGCGACGCATTAATTTTTCCAACGAGCTCCATGAATCACAACCCATGATTTTTTCCATTTAAAATCCTGTGAAATACGTTTTCGGGTTGACCATCATACGGATGACCCGAAATAACCTCATAGTATACACCATGAATTTCCCAACGTGAGGTGTCCACCTAGAAGGAGACCGGTACCAAATTCCAACTAAACATCATCAATATAAATTGTATGAAAATGCAAACCAATTAAACAGATCTGCTATGACTGACGAGAATAACATAGGAGATTAAAAGTGGATCGAATTGGAATTTGGGGTCTAGTAGTCCAAGTTCAACAAAAAACAGGTTGAATTTTAATCCTAAAACGTATTAGAAGTTTGATTCTATGATTCCAAATGAAAATGAGGAATTTGGTGCGAGCAAATGAAAATGGGAAATTTGGGGCGTTTAAAATCAGCAGTGTAGGAGGAAGTTAAACTTCTTGAATACAATTTTTTCAATTCACTAAGTACCTTTGGATTGGCTGCACATTAGCGGAGATGGGCGTAGAGACTGGGGGTGATGGTTGGACTAAATAAGCTCGCTTTGATAACAAATTCCAACTAAACATCATTAATACAAATTGCATTTGTCGAGTACCGGATGTAATTACCTCAAAAAAATGCAATTGGACACCAATTACACCCGCCTAAGATGAAATTATAATTTTCGTACTTGCTCAATTCCCGCTTCCAATTACAAATGTAGCTAGGATTCTTAGCATATATCATGAACCACCAACGCCTAAATTTCAGGGTAAAAACAAACCTCTAACTTGGGTGCTTGCTATCAAAAAGGCGCCTCACTAGATTGAACCTATACTCCAGTTTAACTCTTAGCACCATAAATAGCGGCTATGACTTAGTAACCCACGCAATGTCCTGTTACAATTCAAAAATAATGTTATACAACCGACCATAGCATAAATGATAATGTAACAATATAAAAATATACTTACTTCTCATATTTCAAAACCCATAAGAAGTCCAACTCCTTTGGAAAGTTGTTTCCATGAATTTTGTAACAGAGGTCCACAAACATTTTATCATCTCCCAAATTGACACAAGCAGAGTGAGGCAGACCGGAACATCCCAATAAAGCCCTTCCGTTCCTCATCCATACCTCATAACGGGAGGACTCTATTAGGATGTCCCTCTGCCTCACTTTGCTTGTGCCGTTTTGGGAGATGATAAGATGTTCGCGAACCTCTGTTACAACATTAATGAATAGGGACGCAAGAATTTTTCCATTTAAAGTCCCGTGAAATACATTTTTGGGTAGACCATCGTGAGGACCATGCGGAATAAGCTCATCGTATACACCATGAATTTCCCCTACGAGAGGTGTCCCCCTAGAAGGAGACCGGAACCAACTTCCAACTAAACATCATCAATACAAATTGTATGAAAATGCAATCCAATTTAACAAATCTACTATGATTGACGAGAATAATATTGGAGATTCAAAATGGATTGAATTGGAATTTGGGGTCTGGTGGTCCTAGTTCAACAAGAAACAGGTTGAATTTTAATGCTCAAACTTTGTATTAGAAGTTTGATTCTATGATTCCAAATGAAAATGGGAAATTTGGTGCGATTAAAATCAATAATGTAGGAGGAAGTTACACTTCTTGAATACAATTTATTCAATGCATTAAGTACCTTTGGATTGGCTGGACATGGGCGGAGAGACTGGGGGCAATGGCTGGACTAAATAAGCTCGCTTCGGTAACAAATTCCAACTAAACATCATGAATACAAATTGTATTTGTCGAGTTAACGGATATAATTGCCTCAAAAAAAAAAAAAAAAAAAAAAAAAAAAGGACACCAATTACACCCACCTAAGATGAAATTATAATTTTCATACTTGCTCAATTCCCACTTCCAATTACAACTGTAGCTAGGATCCTTAGCATATATCGTGAACCACTAATGCCTAATTTCAGGGTAAAAACAAACCTCCAACCTAGGTGGTTACTATAAAAAAGGCGCCTCACTAGATAGAACTTATACTCCAGTTAACTCTTGGCACCATTGTGTTCGATCCCAACAAAGTACTTGATCAATTGTCTGACTTACATTTCAGTAAGGTTTTTGGAGATAGCCCCACTTTTAAAGATTTTCGGGTTGTATATAACAGTCTTTGTGTTACTACAAAGCTCTGCTTGTTGTGTTTTGCTGTGTTTCCAGCAAATGAGGTTATAAAGAAGAGGCTTTTGGTACATTGGTGGATTGGAGAAGGGTTCCTGAACCCTCCTGTTGATGGCAAAGAGACGGTCGTGGAAATTGCGGATGGTGTATTTGAAGAGTTAACAAAGAAGGGCTGCATTGAACCTGTTTACAAGAAACGGAGATCAGTTGTGCGTAGTTTTAAAATGCACCGTCTTAACCGTTCCGCAGTGATTGTGATTGCCAAAGATGTGAGATTCGTTGATTTTGATAGTAAGGGAAATCCCACTGCCAACTTTTCATGGTCTCACCGGGCTTGCTTGATGAATGGTTCTTCTCATCTGACATTGGCAAACAGACCCGATTTGGATCCAGAGAAGCTGCAGACTATATTCAATGTGAATGAGGCTTATCCAGATTTTTCCGAAGTTGACTGGTCTAGGTTAAGGAATGTGAAGGTTCTTTATCTTGGAAGGTGGCACAACAGAGCTAATCATCACATTGAAGTAGATGACGTTGAATTCTTTAAAGGGTTGAGGTATATGAGACATTTGATTTTCTTCAGCCTACGAGGGATATCTAGGATTATGGAGCTTCCTGATTCACTGTGCAAGCTTTCTAGTCTGAGGATCTTGGATCTTAGTGCATGCAACAATTTAGAAATACTTCCAGAGACAATAGGCTCGCTTAAGAGGCTCACTCATTTGGATATGTCTGAGTGTTACTTGCTGGAGCACATGCCTAAGGGGAATATTGCCTTGCTCTCAGAACTCCAAGTTCTTAAAGGATTCATAATTTGTGATCATAAGAATGATAGATCATGTACTCTTCATGATTTGTCAGCTTTGAAGAAGTTGAGGAAATTGGCAATCAACACAAGCAGGGAGGATTTTCCCCGAGAAGAAGAGCTAATTGTTTTCCAACAGTTTGGATCGCTTCGAAAGCTAACAATAGCATGGGGAGGGTTATACCTCCCAGCCATCCAGCTGGATAAACGTATTAAGCTGGAGAATATTGCTGCTCGACCCACAACATCAAACACTTTGAAGAGTAGTGGAGGTAACCATACACAAGACAATGCTGCACCAGAGCCAGCAACACCAACTGGCATAAGAAACTATATCCCTAAAATCCCTTCAAGTTTATCAGCCTTCAAGCGAATGACTAAAACTACTACCAGGAATCAGGAACATTTTAAAGAACTAGAGAAGCTGGATCTGCAGTGCTACCCTCAGATGACAGCACCCAGTTGGTTGATGCCTGGAAAGCTTAAGAGTCTAAAGAAACTCTACATTAGAGGAGGACAGCTCCAAAATCTAGGTCAAGTTCACGAGAATGACAAGTGGACAATTATGATTTTACGTCTGAAGTTCTTTAGTGAATTAAACCTGGATTGGAATGAACTCCAGGTGCCATTTCCATACTTAATATATTTGGAGAAATATAGATGCCCTAAGCTCACTTTCTTCCCATGCGATGCGAGTGGCCTATGGCTGAAGCCCTGAACTTGAACAATGGAATCGTACAGGTGGAACTCTTGGTATGTACATCCAAGCAGTTAAATTCAAGTGTTTACTCGATTGAAGTACGTTGTCCATTTTTGGCTAATGTTGTGAGCCTTTTTTTGCTTCTTTACTCAGAAAATTTAATTATTTTTCACGTCTGCAATGCGAGAGAAGTTTGCTTAGTTCAATGAAGACACTAAGAAAATACTTTTCTCATGCCTTTAGGTTCAGTGAAATTTAATATTACTCAAAAGTTGAGTGTCAATTTTATTCAAGCTATTGAGTTTTATTCAAGCTATTGAGAAAATGCTTTTGTTGAATATTATCAGGGGAATTTATAAATTACAGACAATCTGATACTTAATTCTCTGTGAAGACAATCACATGTCACTTTGAGTGGCCAAAATATGTAGTAGAAAGGGTAAAACAATATGTTTTTGGGACTACTTTGGACTTGGAAGTTTACTCCAACTTTAAGAGAACATGGGAACAAAGGGTTCTATTTTAACCATTGGAGAGGGCTGGGCTTACAATGGTATTAAAAATATTTGGCTTTCGGAAGACTGCAGGGTTTGCACTTGAAGAGTCAATATCAAGTCCTAGGGTTTTCATCTAAAATTTTTTATGGGTTTAGAATTTTTGTTCCTATGGGTAATAATTTTTTCCAGTTGCTGTTGTGTGTTTACATTTCTCACATTTTCTTGTTCTGTGTGCACTTATACATTAAGGCCATGTTTGGTGGGCCGGCTAGAAAAAGACTGGATTGGATTTCATAATTTGGACTGGATTGGTTGAGACTGGACCATACTTTAAGTCTGTTGTTTGGTGCTATACTAATACTTACTCTGTACTAGACTGGAAAACATAATAATTTTATTATCAGATTTTTTAAAGTATCTTTTCTTTATGAGATTAAAAACTATTTATTTTTCCCATAATGAACAAAATTATAGTCTAGCAAAACAGAAGTACAAAAATATAAATTGAAAAAAAAGAAAAAAATCGATAGTATGAAGCTATGAAATTTGAAAGATTCACCACAAGACCATATGAACATTTTGAAAAAATAATAAAAATTAAAGCACAAACGAAAACTGGGTTCCACATCTGAAAATTTTCAAAGTAATCAAAAAACAAGATTGAAGAGAATACATGAAAACGAAGATAAAAACTCAGGACCATACAATTGGCCGAAAATTGCTTTAGCAAAAGAAGTGAAGCAGATCAAGAAATGGGCAGAAGAACAAAGCAGAAAAGCAAGTAGAAAAATAAAAGAATAGAGCATTGAGACACAACAGAAAATGGGCTTCAATTTATAGCGTAAAAAACCATAGCTTTCGACATCTGAATTTCAGAGAAAAATAAAATAAAATATCAAGTCCAGTCCTTTGTGTTCATTTTAATTGAATATATCCAGTCCAGTCCGACTCACCAAACAGGGCCTAAGGCTCCTTTCTTTGTATTTTCTACAGATTTGGTGCAGGTCATCAGGGCTTGGATTTGAAGATCCAAATTTGAGCAGCTCTGGTGATGCAACAGTGGTAAAATTTAGTGTTCTGAATGATGATGCTCTTAAGAGCATGTACAAGGCAGAGAATGGGCCAAGGGTTTAGGGCCTAAACCCTAAACTCAAAGGAGAAGAAGCATGGATACTTTCAAGGGATTGAGTGTGTTGATGTCACAGGGCTGGTAAGACTTCTGGGGTTGAACTAAATGGAAGGTTGTTGGATATATTATGCTGACAACTTCTGTTGGCATTGTGGAACATTAACAGAATCGTAGATAATTTAAGATTTAGTAATGTAGATAAGTTAGTCAGAAGCGAAAAGGTGCTTTAGTTGATACCTGTACAATTATTTGGATCCCTTTGCCTTTACATTACTTAATGATACCTTGATTGGGTCACCATGTTCCCCAAATTATTAGGTTTGTTTTTACCATATGTTTCATTCTTTTCTATTATATCAAATTTGGTAGGCTTAGTGATGCAGGGCAGCGGCTATAAGCTGCTGTCTAATGACCCAAACATACCCAAAATACAGAGAATAGAAGGATAAAACAATAGAATTGAAGTTGGAACGAAGATAATGGAGTACTAGGGCAAAATTCCAACAGAAACTCTATAGACTTACGTATGAGATTATATTCATTAACAAAAATTTCATACAAGAGTTTCTAACTAGCCTATTTATACTAGAATACAGAAAACCTAATTGACATAGAAAATTGAAACCCTAAATAGGATATTAAACCAAATCCTAGTAAGAATAGGAAAACAAAAGAAGTAAATAATAATTTAAAGTAAATAGAACCCTAGCCCAATTGACTGACGGGCCTAAGTAATCTTAGAGAGCTTCGTACATGCTCCTGCATCACTTAGCAAGACAAATTTTTTTTAATAAATCTAGCAATTTCATTTATAAGATATTTTACAGGAATTCTGCCTGCACAATCCCCTGCATAAAATTGTGCATGAACCAATTTGCTGCTTTCAATGCGTGATCTTGGTTATGCTGATCAGAAAATTATATTCGTGAGGATTATTGACAAAGCAAAAGTGAAAACTGATATAGCTGAAGCCTTTTGACTGCTTCTCAAACAAGAAACCAACAAGGCCATAACACTCTGCTGCCATATCATATGGATGCCAACTTGATTAAAATTTGAACAGGTTAAGTGTTTAACCCTCTTTCTTATATAGAAAGGGACAAGTAGTGGAAAATCAACAATGATCTGCTAAGCTATGATTATGCATACTATGTATGAAAGAATGTATGGAACCAGAACCAGTAAATTTGAAACAAATCTTAGACATTCTGAGAATTTAGAATTTTCTTTTAACAGTATCCTATTCGGTGGATATTGATATTACACTGAGAACACTCAAACACCAATCCCTCACAAGGTTTACCACATGCCTCACAAGGAAGAATGTTATCTCTCTTATCAAAAGGAATGGCACTCTTTTTCTTCTCAGCAAGGGTGACAAGGTGTTGGTGAGCATGCTTGTAAGTGCTCCCTAACTTGACATGGCGATACCTCCCAACAACGCAATGAGGATGACAATCGAAGTCACAATCTTTGCAGCAATAAAACCAATGTGTTGAGTCTCGTTCTCCTTCGCATATTTGACAATAACATTCTCCCAGTTCATATTTAACCCGACGATGGGTGAGCTTGAGAGGATGATTGTCGTACCTGTGACTTGCAGTAAGAGGTAGTTGAATGCATTGGATACACAGATGAAAATTGCAGTTGACACAACTGAAGCGGACAGCTGGTTGACTATAATTACCACAACCTCGACAAGAAGGGTTGCTCCTCCTTAATATGCCTCGGATTGACGATATGTAGGACTGTCCCTTGTCATCCATTGTGTTGAAGGTGAGGGGGTGTCTATGAGCCGGATGTGTAAGAGAGTTGGAAAGAGTAGTGCATTGGAGGTCAAGGTAGAACTGGCATCTTTCACAGCTGTAGAGGAAGCCGTGACTAAAGCTGCTGCATGCATGGCACTCGAACATGCCATCCATAGACGGTGCCTTTGGGAGGAGTTGGAGCAAGTGTGGGTGAAATGGGTGAAGCCTCTCCGTTGGTAATTGAGCACATGTCTTGTGGAGAAAGAAATGACAATCATCTTCTTCTTGTTTTGTACAGCTATAAAAGGCATCTGTGATAGGTTCGATGCAACCGTCACAAGTGATTCTATCATCTTTTTGCACTTTATCTCTCAGGACCAACAAATGATTATGACTAAAGTGTTTGATTATCCCGTCGTCGCCCTGCTGGGCCTCACCAAGCATCGTAGCTTTGGACTCATCGTCAACGATTTTGGTAGTTGTATGGCCATGCCTTTCTTTCTCCAGCGCAATTATTTCATCTCGAACGTCCTCCTTCATTACACATCTATTATGAGCAATGCAGCTGCAATGTTGACAAGAATATACAGCTCTTTCTTTCTTCATGGGTTTGTGGCAGACTCTGCAGAATTGATTCCGGGGCTGAACCACCCCAAAGGACCACTTGAGCATGAGAGGGTGTTGGTCCGCAGTTATTTTGATCTGGCGTGGTAACGAAGTGCATTCCTCATGGACCAAAAGCTGGCAGATGCTGCAGAGATAAGCGACGCCATTCCCATGTTTGTTACATGCATCGCAAGTGAATTTCATTCGCTTCCGAAGGACGGTGAATTGGTGGTCATGGCAGTCATAATTTCCAATGTTCCGCCAATTGGAAGCACATTTGAGGTCAAGGTTGAAGTCACATTGGGAACAAGTGTAAGTATGGTTGTCTCTACAGCGTTGGGAACATGCATCACACTTAGTCATCGAGTAGTATCTAGGTTTGCGAAGAATAAGCGGGTGCTTCCGATGCATTGGATGTTGAATCTCACGGGGTAGCTTTGCACATGATTTATGGAGAGTGAGGTTGGGAGGATCTTTGTTTCCATTAGAGCCAGGGCCAACGACCGGGTCACCGCACATTTCGCAAAAAACCAGTCGACCATATTGATTAGGTTGCAGTTCCGTGAATATGCAGGGACGCTGCAATTTGTTAAGCTCATTTTCTCTCCCTCTCTGTCAACAATCACAAATTTAGTATATGCAAACTGCTACTGAAAGATTATATATTAGCATGTATTGTATAATTAATTAGAATCAGTCTAGATTTTATTATTTGAACCCTTTTCCAATCTAGCTAGCCTGGTGGTGCTACTTGGACAACATTAACTGCTCAGTCTATAATCGAGGTATGACTTGCCTATGTCACCTCTATCAAAGACATATGAACATAATTCTGGTCCAAATAGTTTATTATATATTGTCCTATGCGGACGTCCAGACATTATAATTGTGCAGACTTCATGTATTTTCTACTATATCCTCTTTGCTTTCCTCCTTGTTTATAATGACGTCCATATGGTAATAACGTCCGGATATCCGGAAAGAGAAGAATATTGTATATATATGTGTGTGTATGAACCGCATTTACTGGCCACCTTG